TCCAAACGACGATCGACACTACGGCCCACTAGAATAAAAGAAGTAGTTTCTAAATCGTCGATATTACATTTCTTGCTTGCAGAGTGTGAATGTAAGTGTTTTTATCGACTGTTGTAAAAATGAAGAAATAAACCGAATCTCGTTCACTTTGTCTGTTTTTCTTCGCACTTCACCACGCTTGGGAGCATGGTGCACAGCGTTAGAAACCTGAAACCTCGCGATGCGTCGTCGCTCCTTCTTTAAACTAGTGGTGCTAAAACAGCACGTACTTTATCGCATGTATTGTCACGCAAAACTACTCGAAAATAACTCAAATTTTCGAAAATTTGTACATGAACTTAATTCAAAATCTATATGTCAGGAACAGATTTCATTAAGAGAAAAACAATCTCTCTCTCTCTCTCTCTCTTCTCTCTCCTCTCTCTACCACCTCACCACACACACACAACACACACACACACACACAACACAACCCTCCCCACACTACTCTCTCTCTTGGTCTTCAAATTGGTAAGTTTTAGGAAGACAACCGAAAAACTTTGCAATTTTCGAAAAATTACGATTTCAACGAACTTGAGACCTACACCATTCTCTTTAAATGTCGTTCACACTACCCCACAACAAAATTTATTCAAACACCGTGGAGCTGGTTTTTTGAAAATTTTGAAAATCTCCCACGGGCTTCATGTAAAGTACTCCCCAAAATTAAAATTTCGGTTTCAAATTCGAGGAACCGAGAATAAATTCGAGGACATCAGCCAGATCGATTGAAGAATATCAATTTTGGAGATAATCGGCTAAACGGTTTAGCCGCTAGCGTTGTTCAGACGGACGTACAGACATACACACTGCCATATACACAGACACACACACGCACAGAGGCGTTTTATGGGTATCAAGGACCCACAAAATATTGATTCCGACTACATCAGTTGTTAGAGGATTTATTACCTCAATTTAGTAGCGACTGGATTTATCCACTTTTTTCTTACCAGAACCCTGTAATAATGCGATAGTTTTCTGCCTAAATTCGCAGTTTTTCCCGCAGCATTGCATAACTTTCTCTCTACTCCTTGGCGAGGAAGTAAAACCGACACGCTTCGATCGCACGTTGACCCTTTTTGTTGCCTCCGCAACAAAAATAGAGAAACCCTTTTTTCGCCTCCTCCATGCAAAGCACGCTATTTCCAAACGAGAGAGTATTCATATGAGATACAGCTTCTTCAGTTACAAAGGTATTGGAACCAACTTTATTTTTAAAACGAAATATTCACCTCTGACAAGTACAAGTACGAGTATATTGCCTGCATTTATCTTAATCGATAAATAGCACATAGAACACGATATATGGTTGTAATTTTTTCTTCCGCGCCTTAGAAAGTTCTTCGTAAAAAAAGAGAAAGTTATGAAATCGTGCGCAGGAAAACGGTGAATTTCGGCAGAAAAACCTATTGCGGAGCCTCGCGGCAAAAGGTGACTTCAAAAAATATCGTTTGTTACTAATTTAGAAAAAAAATCCTCCAACTCTTGGTGTAGCCAGAATCCATGTTTTGTGGGTTCTTATACCGCAAAATCGATTGACGGCAAAAAGTCTGTCCGTCTGTGCACAACGCTAGCGCATTTACCGCTCAGGAGAGTTTCTTCAAAATTGATATTCTCCGATCGATTTAAGTGAACTCGTGACTTTGGAAGAGTTATTTTTAAAGGTTCCGAATATTATTAGTTATCGCTCTTACGAAGGTTGTTTCATTACGACGTTTCTGTGGCGTAGTGTACGTTGGTAGATTAACTCTGAGGTTCTGAGTTCCGGTCAGGGAACGGAAATAATTTTTTCTGGTTGAAATTACTTTTGTAACTTTATGTAATGATATAATATAGCTGAGCTGATAAATATAATGCAAGAAAGTATGAACTTTTGTTGAACTAGTTTTTTTTAATCTGTAGGTAGAAACACGTATTGCGAGGATGGCAAGTAGATTCAATTTCTGGATAAAAAGTGGTTGCTTTAACATATTTACGTGGTATATATTTGATTGAAGTTCAATATTATATGTCAGTACATCGCAATTTTATTATAGCACCAGTCTTTTTCAGTAAACTCAAAATTGTGTTGTATGCAATCAAACCCTGGAGATGTACAAAAATATATTAACTCCACGCGTTGCTCATAGGATTGATTTAAGTTATGGGCATTAAATTCAATCACCATGAAAATAAAATTCAATTGACCACACTAAACAACCCTTACGCCTTACTTCTTGCGTAACATGCCTATGCTACAAGGCTACAAATACTTGTCTCTGAGAGATGCACGTTCGAGGACAAGGTCTCCTGTGAAGTAGCGACGACACAGCCTTCAATTACTGCTATTAGACAAGTAAATAACGTGTTCCTCATTGCCTATCGAGGCCGACTGTCGTATTCGATTCGTTACAAACTAGCTACGTCCAGCTCTTCTCAAACAGAGATTTATCTCCCAGCTTCGCATTCGAACGGACTTTGGTGGCAGCCATCCAACTCATCTTTCGGAAGTTCCTAGGCAGCGATGGAAATACGACTTGTGAATGAACGTCCCAGGCGTCGGCTGAGAGTCGCATTCGAAGGAGTCCGCTGGTTAGGCACCGCCCTGCGAGGCTCTTCGCCGCGACATATGCTGCCCAGCGGGGAGCATCAGAAGCGGCTTCCCAGAAGTCAAGGTCGTGCAAATACCGTGCGTAACATAAGGTCACAGAGACCTTTTCTTCCCGGGTCGCCCGTATCGCTTTGGGAGCCGACAGCCGCTGACAGCGTAGCCGTGCTAATCCCACCGCAGCCGTGTTCCCGGGCGCCGGTTGGACGTTTACACCGTGAGCGACGGCAGGGGGCCGGCAGCTCACACGCCTCACGCTCTCGCCGTTGCGGCTCCTCCCAGCCCGGAACATGTTTCTGCTCCAGACCGAAATACGGCTAATGTTTGGAGTGCCGGGTTAAATCGCACATTAGTCAGACGGTGTGGATAAATCTGTGTCAATGATGACGGATAATTTCAAATGTCATCCGGTTAATGGCGGATCTGCCGGAGATGTCTCGCTAAAGTAAGGTGATTGCCCATCTTGAGAGTTGAAGAGAAGTATATTGCCGAACAAATACAGCGGATGTTAGGCGTTGCAAGGTTCTTTTATGTTAATTGCGAAGGTCGAAGACTTGAAAATGCGAAATCGGAAATGTGTAGCGAAGCGCCAACTGAGGATAGGAAAGTGTTTAGTGAGGTGAGGATAGGTGGAATCGGGTGAATAGAAGTTTACGACTAATACAATGCAACTCGAAACTACGTACCTTTTCTCTTACTGGCTTTTGTACCCTCCCACTAGCCGTATGACCTTCGGTTTTTCGCAGAATATTATCTGCTATTCCTCGTCATTGCAAGGTATCCGTACTTCACCTACCCTCCGCACCTCGTGTTGGTTAATGTCAGATTTTTCTGTATTTAGTCAGAAGTAAGCATCGAAGCTTCTCCTACATGTAACTTGATCCATCCATTGTAGAATTTTAACCGAGAATTAGTCAGATTTGAACATTAGCTAAAACTGACATGTCTCTACTCAGGGTATATTGTCCGTATGATGGCTCGCGCGTGAGGTTATCATCTCAGGACACTTTTGAACCGGTAACTTCTATTTACAATATGGCCACATCCTTTTCTTCTTTGGAGAGTAGCCCATCGTTTCCTAAAACTTTCGTATTTTAAGGTCTCTGATCAAGGAGGGAATATACTAAATGGAACAATAATTTCCAAAACGACAATTTTGTACATTTCAGACGCATCAAGTTTCCGCGGGATATCATATCTTAGCCAATGTTACGATTCTCTTTAAGAGAATGAAATCCTAATCAGCTTAATGCGAATATAATAGCAGCACGAAGATGCTTCTTGTGATCGTAAACAAAAACTAGGAGAACGACACTTACATCAGTAGCTCTGTTGTGGGCGTTTCACCGCAGCGGAGCAGTGCCCTGGAATTGCCATTCACAGGACGATGTTTTCATCTGCTGTACCGCCGCCGCGGCGCCGCGCGTCGGCCGCACTCGCCCGCCCGCGCCCACGAAAAAACGACCAGCGCGGAGATACAGGTAGGACGGGTAGAGAGCCAAGTGGCAAGGTTGCGAGTGCAGCCGTCGGCGGGGGAGGGGCGGGGCGGGCGGGGCGCGGCCGCGGCCTCGCCGCACCGGCGGGCGGCGGGCCGCGGGCGCGAGCGGGGCGGCGGCAGAAGGAGGGACAGCGGCGCTGGCGCCGCGCGCGCCGCGCGCGCCCGGGCGGCGCGGCGCGGCGGCGGTCCAGAGTCGCCAGCCTCCGCCGCAGAGCCGCGCCGCACCCCGACTCCGCATCGCCTCCTCTGGCGCCGCCGTTCGCTCCGCCGACGTAGTCTTGGCCGATGCGCACGTCACGCCGTCTGTTGGCTCGTATGCTCGCAAGGGGAAGATAGATCGGCTGCGCGCGTCGTGTCTCCCTCTCTCTCTGTCGCGGCCGCGCTCCTCGCCGGCCGGCGCCCGCCCCACGCGCGTGCGGATCTCTTTGCGGCCGCGGGCGCGCGTCATCGCCATGTAAGTCGCCGCGGCGCCGGTTCGGCCAGTCGCTTCCGCGAACCCCGAGGGGACGCGCCGCTCGCCGATTCATTTTTCGCACGCGCCCCGCGCGTTTCGGCGCTTCCCGCTCGCCCTTTTTTCGGCAGCTTCGCGGAAGAGCTCGCTGCGGTCGACACACAGCGCCCCGACCGAGCGACAAATTGCTAGCGTCGGCTCGAGAGTGAAGTGTCACGTCACGCGTCACTTTGCGAGTCACGTCACGCGCCAGGTCGCGTGTTGCGTCACGTGTCACGTCACGCGTCAGATCACCTGTGTAGACAGTCACTTATCAGATCACGCTCTTTTAGTTGGTTTGGTAGAAGAGCAAGATCTCGCGAGAGTAGAGCGACGGTGAACCCGCGCCGCGACCCCGGCGCAAGCCGCCGCCGCCGCCGCCACCGCCGTCGCCGCGACTGCCGCGGAGCGGAGCGGAGCGCAGCGGGCGGGAGGGAGCGGAGCCGCTATTTAGCAGCGCGCAGGGCACCCGCCGCCTCAGTAGGCGCGCGCGCTCGCTCGCGAGAGGAACCCCCGGTGCTCGACGGCTACCCCGCCGAGGACGACGCCTAGCGCACGATGAGGACTGCCGGAGCCGGAGGAGGACGCCCGCCGCCGCCCCCGCCGCTGCTCGCTGCGGGACTGCTGCTCTTGCTGGTGAGTACCGGCGGCGACGTCGTTGGGAGATTGTTTGCTCTACGCGCTCGAGTGACGGTTTGTTCCGCTGAGAATGGTGCGTGTGCAATTAGCGAGGTAACGGCTTCAACACATCGCAGACCTCTCACTCGTTTTTTTTGCACTTCGCCACGCGTCCAGTTTGTGCTGCGGCGGAGGCCTCGACGAGGCGGACTCCCGCCGCGATCTGTGCGATGCAAGCGGCGCTGTTAAGTAATAGTGTTTGCGAGTGATTCTGCGCGTAACGTGATTCAAATCCCCTGCGATGTTGCGGTCGCACGCGCGTGGCAGCGGTGCGGTGGCGCTGATAAGGCCGAGGCCTAGCGACGCGACCGCAACCGCGGCGCTTTGAGTCACGAGCCCCAAAGTTGGAGCGGCCAGGATGAATGAATAACGGCTCGGTGACATCAACGCGATTAGGAGTCTGTTGTACGACTTCGCGGTGTTACGAGAACGGCTCTCGGCTATTAACTGCTGTGATGTGACCGTGTGCAATCTGCGGTTTACTACGCTATAGGGAGCGAAAATGACTAGACAGCGTTGTTCCCAACCACCTATTGATATTGTAATCAACTAACAACATCGCAAGACATTTTCCATTAATATTTTATCAATTTTTTTTAGAGATATGATGTCAACAAATTTTGATGGCAGAAATTCTGTAACATGCTTCTTGATCGAACATGTTATTAATTTAAATACCTTATAGGTATTTTAAATGCAATATTGTATTTGATAGCTGCTTGCTGAAATTGATACACAGGTTCTAGTGAATTACTTAGAATGTAAGATTATTCTCGATTTACATAACAAATAATTTTCCTGATTGCTGTCTCAGATATAGGAAGTAACTACAGTTCCTAAACGCAAGTGGCACCCAGCGTGTGCTCTATGGAACCTAAAAGTGTCGTGAAAATAGTGCGGAATGCATTACCATAGTTGTAAGGGGAAATAAGAAAATTTATTTATTCACTTTTTTGTGATATTACTGTTACGTATTTATTAGTGAATGAACTAACATATAAACATGACATTACTTTTACTTTATCTATGCTAAACACATAATACCATTTATTAAATATAGGTGTGCGGAAGGTAAGGCGAGAGTCGTGTGATCCAATAGAATTTCATTAACTGTTCCGCGTCAGAATAAATTTCGGCAGCACTACTCCCTACTATTTACAATTGCAGCGCGATCGCGCAACTTCCGTGACTGCGAGGCTCGGCAGCGAGCAGCGTCGGGGGCGAGATGATCTTCTTTCGCTTTTTCTTCGCTCCCCTTCGCTCCCCTCCGCTCCCCTCCGCTCCGCTCCTGTCTCGCGAGCTCCGTCTGCTATTCTTCCGCGGCTGACCTTGAACGTTTTGGCCCTGGCTCAAATTGCGTATATTCCACTCCGCCAGCCTCGCCGGCGTAATTCATCTCCTGAAAGGGGCTTGGAGATGTTGCATCTGCGATCGCACCTTTCGTGCAACGAGGTCAGAGGGGATCTCCTGAGCGCTCTGAGAGATACGAACCCAGGCTTTTCTTTCTTTACCGTGCCTGTTACAAGAATATTGGTGTCAACGAGGAAGAAATTAAATAACATTTCATTCGTGAAAATGTGTGTGGTGGAATGTGGAATGCAAACTTCTTTTTTTCACCAATATTAGTCGCCCTCGGGATCAGTATCAGCGATATAATCTGAAAAACGATTGTATTGCAATGTGAATATTAAGCGAAGCAATAAAATAAATTAAACAAAACCATTTGTCGAATAAAGAAAATAGTCTAGGAATATGCCGTTTATGTTTGTTCAAAAAGAGGAAAGCAGATAAGTGACAGTTAATATTATGCTCATCTACTGTTGAGGATCGCGATAACTCACACCATGTTATTTTTATCTCGCATGCATCTTACAACGGTATTTCTAAACATATGATGTACTAGGTGTACATATTACTAAATCACGTCCCAATACTTGTAACAATAACTGATGAAAATATGTCTCCACAATCTTGTCACAAAATACGAAAATATTTTCGCTTCTACAATTTGATCGATATGCAAAGCAACGTTTGTATGGACCATATACGAATTTGGATGATGCTCAAGACAATCATATGCGGATTTCTCTTCCTCCTCCATCCGATACACAAATTCTACAAGGCAGTGAGCACACAACAGGAAGTAGTGCTTGCACAAACGAATGTTTACTCCTTATAAAAAGCACAACAGTGTGGGAGAGCTCCGCGCTTGGAAAAGCGCACAATCACGAGCGTGTCTTTTCTGAAACTCTCGCCCCGATATGTTGCCACAACACGGAATGAGGCTGGCGCAGGTGTGCGTAGTGTTGTTTACTGCGCTGAAGGGAGCTCGGGACGGGACGTTGCAGGAGCCAGCGGCGTTGCGTTACGACTGAGCGTGCGAGCGGCGCGGGCAGCAACACGCGCGAGCGCCGATCCAACCCCCGCGCTTTGAACGTCACAAGAAGGACGTTTTATGGCGTTGTATGTAGTAGGGCGAAAGGACATGATTTCTCTGAAGTTCTGAGAGGTCAGGGGAAGTATTCTAGGGTTTCCGCTACTTAATATTCTTCTTTAGTAAAATCAGTTGAGTGATTAGTGATTCCGAGCCTGTCAACTGGTAAGATCATTATTCACGTAAGTGTAGTGCATGTTTTATCAGGGGAGGTGGCAGTTATCTTCCTACGCTGGCTGGTGAGGTCCCGCGTCGGCCTACGTGCGCCTTGCGGGGATTCTCCCCAGCCGGGTATCTTCCATCTCCATGACAAGCTGGAACAAAACGACTTATCCCACGAAGTGTGGTAGTGTAGGGCGAGTGTGTGTGTGTGTGTGTGTGTGTGTGTGTGTGTAAGGATAAGGAAGTGGAAGGAATCGCGCGCCGTCCGCGGCCTGTGTGCTATGGTACTTCTCCGGCATTCGCCGGGTGTTGCACAGAACCACGGACAACTACGGATGAGAGAAGGCAGCAGGTGCACTGCCCCTCCAGGGAGCAGCTGAATTCCCCCTATCCTATTCTACCAAATTCTTGGATCCCCCGGTCAGAAGAATTGCAGTGATAACAGTTGATGTTCAGAGCCATCTTTGCCGGCGAGTAAATTAGTTGTCTTGTAGGCAACACATTCAATTATGAGTGTAATTGGAGTTTGTTAGTAATGACAGGCAAATTGTAATTACACTCACATTTCAATGGGGAGGTCCCATTGGGGAGGTCATCTCTTTAAGGAAATATTGGAAAACCGAACCAATCTCAATCATCAATATCACTATTATTTTATTATGTGCAATTACGTCGTAACCTTTGCATATGGCCTATGTTTACCCTCTGGGTTCTTTACGACGTTCCAATCAATCATAGTTGAATCATATTTGATGTGGATGTACTGTCCGCATCTGACTCAAGGCTTACTGTCATCCAAGAGTGTGACGAGTTCATGAGTGCGTCAATGTCTTCGTTATGATCGACCAAACTCTCGAGGAGCAGTAGGAAAATGTCATTATAATAATAAATGTTATATGATCTGAAAATATAAGAGTGGAAGTGTGAGAATGAATGCATTTAATTAGTGGTCAGTAAGATTTCTTTTTGTTAATATTTACACATTTTAATCATCCTTGCAATTTTTAACTATAAAAAAATGTACGGAAAGGGTAAACTTCTAGGTCATTTTTCCTGGGGATTCTTTCAGTCAATTTTTAAAATCTGGACCTTACATTCGAATGTGTCGTACTCTATTAATTCCGGACGTTCAGTAGTGATTTACATTTTGTCTTGATGTCTGCCAATGCTGAAAACCCTCATTCATATAAGTAGGTGTAGTAAATAAGAAGGAAAATATTAAAGTAAATAAAATTTTACTACTTCTTTTGCTAATTTATCTTGACACCTGTACTGGAATGTCGCGATGCTTCTGCGCGACGGAACGTCAACCTGGTCTATCTCGACTATTTATTGTTTTCAGATGTGTTAGCATTTGAGAATATTAGCTAATGGTAGCACGTGTTGATAAGTCCCGGGATGTAGGGGTGTTCTTGCTCTGCTGGAACGCGACATCCGTTGCGTCGACGTACACATTGGCTTGGAAGGTTTTCTCTCCTCCAGATACCCCTCTCCGGGGCACCACACAATTCAGAACCAGCTCTAAGCTTTTGACCGATCCCCCGACATGTGTGATAGTGTAGTGCATGCAAGTGTGTTTGTAAGAAAGGGGGAGGATAAGACAAGACAGAGGAAGGGAAGATCGCGCGCGATCCGTTTGTTAGGGCACTACTCCGGCATTTGTCTGGTGTTGACCGGAGAGACCACAGAAAACTACCGATCAGAGCAGCCGGCCGCTGTAATTCTCCTCCAGACAGTGGCTAAACTCGGCCTAGCTGAAACGTGGTGTCGAAAATATTGCCACTGTCGGAACTCGCACCTAGGAGAGTCAGTGCAATGACTTCAGTTGCAACTGACCATCTCTCCCGCGTTACATTTCGTTCGAAGTGAGTGGATAAGTGGAAAGTTCACGCTTCGTTCCATGGCGCTTTCCCATGGGCGTTCTCGCGCGGGCAGTCGCAGGGCAACACGGCGCGCGGCGGCAGTCGCGTTTTGATCGCCCTATCTAAGCCCCGTTCTATTTATGGGCGGGGCGTGGGCGGCTCTGGCGCGAATAGACGCGCGCCTGCAGGCGGCGCCACCAGCGCCGAGGGGAGTCAGGCGCCGCGCGCCGCCGACTGGTGGACCGGCAAGCGTCGCGGAGAAGACGGGGCGGGCGGGAAGGAGCGGGGCGCGGAGGGCGGGCAGGGGCCGGGGACGGACGCAGACGGCGAGGCGAGGCGAGAGGGCGGGCGAGCCCGCAGCCTCCGTGAGACGGGGAGCGGCGTCGCGGCCCTCCCCTTGCCCTCCGAAGGCGTATCAACTCCAGATGACAGCTCACGCTGCCGCGATGTGGGGAGGCGCCGCTTCCTCCGTTCTGAAACACTTGCAAACCTTTCGGAATGAAGTGCTACTAACATTTAACCAAGCCCCGTGGTATATAACCAACAGACAACTTCATAGTGAACTGGACATAACGCGAATTGAAAATTGCATTTCCTTACTGTCATTCAACTTATTTTCTAACCACCAAACTGCCCCTTGCACCTGCCACTTTAAACTTCTCTAAATGGGCGTTGTTCTTACAATAATTAAATCTCGTCTCCTGAAGTATCTGTTCCGTCCCCATAATCTAGAGAAATAGTTACCTAGTCCGGACAGTGGCAAGATTTTCGAAGCTTGCTTTTCAGCTAGATCGAATTCTGTTGCTGTCTAGAGGAGAATTCTAGATGCCAGCTGCTTTGTTCAGTAGTTTTCCCTGGTTTCTCTTACCTTAACTTTGTAAAATTAATGAAAGTTGTCGTAGACGTTTCGAGAAGAGATGTCCTAGATGATAATAAGTGGTATAGAGTGCTCAGTTGTAGTTGCTTGTGCCTTTGGGCCATTGTAATGCACCATCTATTATATCACCTATGAATGCTGAAAACCAGATATAGTATAAGTGACATTTTATAAATTCTGAGAAAGACGTGTTTATTTTAGGTTATATGTTAGTGGCAATCTATTTTTGTGGTTTCAATGAATAATTGAAATGCCGTGGTTTTAATGACGAAACAAAGCACCACGACTGTACAGTAATATTGACTTAAATAAACAGATTTCTCTGAATTAATAAAAAGCTAACACTTTTAAAGTGGTAATTCCATGGGTCTGGTTAAATAAAAAAAATAATAAACATCAGATGATGTACTATTAAGAACGGCTGAGGCGGATGACAACGTAGAAGCGAAGACGTACCTGCATAAACTTCTAGGATTGGTGTGGTGTAGTATGGTTCGCCAGGTAGGGTGGACAGTATGAGTGAATGGCTAGGCTAGCGTGGGCAACATAGTTTCAGGTTGACAGTTTACTCGATACTAAACCGCTGGCGTTGCATTCGTAATGTCAGTTAGGTGAACCTCTAGGGTGGTGTGGTCGACGACCTAGTAGCGCAAACCGCTAGAGAGATGTAGATGACGAAGTAGTTAAATCAACCGCTAGTGTGATATTGATGGATTGATTATTTTGTGTTTCCGGATTAATCAACAGCTATAGTCATTATTCCTGTAAGTGTATACTTCGATGTTTTTAGAGCTGCACTTGGCAGGTCGACATCAGTTACGGTGTCATCCAATCGGGAGCTTACACACCACTACAGTGACGTGACAATGGTGACGTTCAACCTCCCCATTGGATGATGGCCAGTGGCTAAACTCGGCCCAGCTATCTAGTTAGTGTCGAAAATTCTGCCTCTGTCGGGACTCGTACCCTAGGACTCCCTTATGAGTGGCACTGTTGTGATATCAGCCGCCTAAGCCTCCTCAGCCGATGTGGACACCGGATGAGGTAGGCAGAACTGCTAGGATGGTGAAGTATTTGATTCGGATGGCGTGGGTGACGACGTAGATGGTGAACCTCTGTGGTGGCATGGTTGACAGTTTACTTGGGCAAACCGCTCGATTAGCGAGGATGGAGCTGAGGCAGTTTATAAAGTAGTAGGGGAATTGCCACTGTGGAATGATTTACGATAAATTTCCATAATCTGTAGTTGATGGTTTAGGAATTATATGTGAACCTGGGGGTATTTCAGTATTGAAAAATTGGTCACATAAGATTTTTTCCTCTCTGTATTTGATTTCTAATACTTGATATTTGTAATTTTTGTGAAAAAGTTAACGTTACAACTTCCAATGTGTGCATTTATTCTAAACCAACTGTAGCAATAGTTTGTAAATTGATACTTTGTCTCATTTATATACCACTTTTCATTGATCAAATAGTTCATGCAAAATGTATTTTCGTCATTTTCGCAGAAAAAATATCTACTACAACTCTTGGATATTGAATAAATTTTTAATATGAACAAAGTATTATTTTTCATTTTTTAGCTATTTCAGTGTTTTATTTGATTATTAACAGACACTTGTGCACATTGAATTCATTGATTTGAATTTGTGTAAGTGGGAATTTGTGTTATGGAACTCTTTCCCTGCTGTGCATTGCGCTTCTTGTGAATATTGCTCTATTCTAAAACCACAAAAATAACCAAATGTTCCTTCTCATGCAGATTTTCTCTACTTATTTTATTCGATTTGTGATAACCTTTTGTTTCTTTTACGGTTTCTCTTCGTCTTGTGGTTCAATAAAACATTAGAAAAGTCTCATCACCTTCAAGAATAAATTGAAAACTAACAGATAATCTCAAAAAAAGTATTTAGCAATTTGCTTGGTCGCTACTTCGTTTATAAATATTTTTTTATTGGAGGGTTAATGCAAATAATAGCCTAAGTCAACTTGCAATATTATTTGTAATTAAAAGTTTATTTGAAATATCTATATATGCATTAAATAGCCTCTGGGCAAATCTGTAAAGTAAAAATAAAAGACGCCATTTTCTATAACATTAAATGTGCGATATGTTGCAGAAATTCACTGTTGGAATGTAGTTGAAACCTGCAAGCGTGAGACGTATTTGATTATGATTTGAATAATGATATATCGTTCCAGATTTCACTAAATTACATTTACTGTTAGAATGAAATGTACATGATTTGTGATATTATATTTTATTGTTAATATTAACATGTTTATTGTGACCCACGAAAAATATATATCAGCAAAAATTATTAGTTACAGGTGTATAACTGTCGCGTTAGGTGTTTTCTGTCCTGTTAGAATTTAATAAAAATTGTGATTCATTAAAATCGCCATGTTCTTGGTCTAGCTAATTCTTAGCAATCCATTTATGAAGCTACTTTACGTCTCCCTAAACTTACGCAAACCCTGCGATATTTTGCCGCACAACTTGCAACAACTCGTGAAATGTGCATGAATTTCGAGGTTAATGGCATTAATTTGAATGTCTGCGAAGATTGAAAACAGCTCTTGAAGCGAGTGAGCGCTCGGGTTGTTTTTGAGACATCTTCCCATGTAAGTAAATTAGACGATTAAATAAGACGAAGGCGCTGCCTTGTAACAGTTATCTCTCTTTCCGCTCGTACGAGCTAATTGAGCATGATTTTAGCTCGTTGGAAGAGGGAGTCTTCGCGTCTAATGGTTGTTTCTTACAGACTTCATCAGATGAACGAGATTTCATAATGCGCGCTACATGGTGCTTTGCATTGAGAAACGACGCCGATGTTGCCGGTTGAGCTTCGCTAATATGAAGGAAACGTGGTTTTCTGATCAAGAAAATACACTGGTTCTTACATGTTTGTTGAATCTCTCAAGTTCTGTGAATAAATTAAATGTAATCAGTCATGGATAGATTGCATCTTTCACGAATGCTAATTGTTATTTGTAACATTTCTTGAAGGAGGTTTGATTACATCCATTCTGGGAAGTCACTTGATTATTAATACTAGCATTAATTTGTGATTTTCTTTCGAAAACGGAATGTTCACGTGTCAGCTGTAATGTTGTATGATGCTTGGAATACCAGCATTAAATATTAGTCTTAAAAAAGTAGAAAGTTAATGAACATAGTTTCACTCATTCACACAACTAATTAATTATTCTTTTGGAAAGCGAAAAATATAATTTGTGTTGTATTTACATGGAGAACATTCCAAAAGGACCAACCAACCAACCAACCTCCACTTTGAATTGAATTGAATTTGCCTTATTTTACGTGGCGAGACTCGGGCCATCAGGCCCGCTCTTCCGTCTGACCACGCAAATTTCGCTACGCTCCTTTCATCAGCTAGCAGAGAAAGGAGGTATTTCTTGGGCGAGAAACAGGCGAATTGAATTTAGCTCAGAGGCGTCATTTAGGCTTGAGGATCTTTTACGTGCAAGTAAATCTACTAATATGGGACAGCCGGCACTCCACTTCACTTTGATATGGTTGCATTCTCCCCCTCTTACAAGGGAAATCGGTCTCCATGAACAAATGAGCGCCTGCGCAGCCGATCGAGGGAACATCTGACGCTCACCTGCGCCGCGCCGGGCGTGTGGGGGCGGTGCGAATCGAGGAATGGGGTGCTTGCGGAGAAGCCCCTGCGGGCGGCCGCGGCTTAACGAGCGTCGCGTGACTTCTCGGTGGGCCAAGTGCACGAAAGAAAGTAAATACATAAATAAACGAACAAAAAATAAATGTAAGTAAATAAAAAATAAATAAATAGAAGTAAATTTAAATATAAGAAAAATCTAAAAATTCATTAAAATATAAAAAATTAAACAATAAACGAATAAGAAAGTAAAATGAATGAACTGGCAGCTATTAAATTGCAAGTTGTTTTTTGTGCTACTTGTGTGTAAAGGAAGTCGTAGGCTTCCGCGGCCGGAGTCATACGAATGATCTTGGCTGTCCGGGTGACGCCGCGTCGAAGGTTGTTTTGCCGACGTTTCGACCATCTTATAGTGTTCTTTCTCAGGGCTGGTCTGCGAAGACCAGTTGTGTGTACTTGTTTTGTAATACAGACGTTCCGGTCCCAACCGTGAGCGTATTTTCGACCCCTAATTATGATGGATAGCCGGCCTCCACTCAGATGAAAGTCTAGAGGCAGCCTGCTCTCATCGATCGTTGCTGTGGATTGCTTGCATCAAGACCAAGGTGACGCCAGAGCAATACCTTTAGACAAGGGGCCACGAACCCTCTTGCCTTCCTTCGCTTCTTGGTCGCGCGATGGCTCGTGGCACATCTTCCAATGCCTAGAAAATTTTCGGCAAACGTCAAAGAACGTAGCTGTCAAGCTGTGATATCCCAGAGAAGTTAACATGCATTTTGCGGTAGATTAATTGGGAGGTAATAAAGAAAGAAATAAACAGCATATTTGTTTATCATAAAAAGTAAGACACAATCATTTTAAAAAGTTTTGCCACTCGTTGAAAATGATACAAAAAGTCAATGATGGTGTTCACCATAACACCACTAAAATTACAATAAAAGGAATAAATAAATAATTTTGCGATACGTCTATTTTATT